TGTATGCACACACCAACTCCTACCCTGCCCAGCAGCACGGCCAGGGAGAACACTTTCCATGGCAAACTAGTAAATCAGCCTCCAAACTGCAAACGTGGTGATTTATTTACAGCTCCATCACAGCTGTGAATATGTAATTTATCATCTCTGGCTCACAGTCAATCTAAGTAGTGTCTTCTCTCAACAGCATGTTACAAGTGAAAATATGTTCTGACGAGCTCAGACCAGAAGCTGAAGACTCAAAATGCCTGAAATACCTCTGTCCCCTGCAGAGCACTGCTTCTATCTGCTGGGCTAGCCAGGCGGGTAAGCAATGCTGGCTGGGGCACATTTGAAGTTACTAAATCTGTCTTCCTGATAGCACTCAATTTACTCCTTTCATTTACAGTTCTCAAGGAGTACTCTTTTTTTCCTTTTAATCTAAAAATATCACCTCAACTCTTATTAAATGAACAGATTTAACACAAGCTCATTCTAAGAGAGGCATGTGGTTTGGTAAGCAGACAGCATTGAGAAAGACCTCAGTTGGGAACCATGCTCGTAGGCTTATTTTTTTGACACAAGACAACCATTACTGTGGACAGTGTACAACCAGATCTTGTGCTGCAGGGGGACCATGATACAGAGGGAGACATGACAGCAGCAAAAAGCTGCTGAGAAACTCCTGCAGCCCAGAGGCAAAGGCTGACCAGACCTATGTCCCATGTCAGATGATATTCAGAGTGCTAATGGGAGCAGGAAAGTAATATGGATAATGAGACACATACCAGGAGAACAGGAAAAGATGACAGAAGGTGAGGAGAGAGAAGAGGCAGAGCAAACCCCTTACTCCCAGGTCTCAGGGCCACACAGAGCAGGGCTGCAGCATCTGCTGCAGGGTATGGTGCAGGAAGACACAAACATGCAACCTGCAAGAGACTGGGAAATACAGCTGGGATTGTCAAGAGGTGATGAAGATGAGATGGGAATAGCTGGTACTCATCACAGCTGTGGAGAGCTGTGGAGTTTCTCTCTGATGAGAAGCTCATGGTGTCCAGATGGAGTGTGAAAGGCAATGGTGAAACATGGAGCACAGCATGCAGAGCTCACAGGAGGACAGGGCAGAGGGGCAACAAGAGAGGTCAGAAGGCGATGTCTTCCCCAGGGCCTCATACAGCTGCAGTGGTAGGAGGGGACAGAAGGAGGCTGCACAATGGTACAGCTTCTGTCCAGCACTTAACAACATATTAGGTGGTACCCAAATCAGCAAGCATAGGAACCTCTTGGGCACACCCCAGTTTCTCAGCCAGCCTGGGGTGGGGCTAGACAGTAGAGAGAGCAGATTAACCACCCCAATGGTGTCAAAACGAAGTTTTAGCAACGCAGGTCAGGCACAACCCTTCTGCTGTGCACCCACAGTGCCTGTATCGCGACACATCCAGCATGGTAGAAAGGATGACCATACCTCTCTTTTCACCCGTGAAAGGAACCAAATCTTCTCTGTCTTTAATGTCTTTCGCCTGCTTTTCTAGGTGGGCCATGAGTTCCTCCCTTCTGAATGGGCCAGTTGGTGGCTTTTGTGTCTGATCCCGCTGCCTGAACCCTGCCGGCAGCAATGCATTCTAGACATGAAGGGGAGAAACAAAAGTTATCTCTGCAGACCATGATCCCAATCCATCAAACAATCTCCCTTCTCCACTTCCCTTATTGTAATGTCTTTCTTACAAATTTCTGGACAATTTGCTTCTCCTTGTGTCAAAGGTTATCTCCATCTAGCTCCACTAATTCTCACATCATCTAAGACACATGATGCTCCTTCCCCCTTCCAGTTTCAAATGCTGCCAAGTGGATCCTTCTCTGCAACAACAACACCATCCCTTTCTTCAGGAGGCTCTCAGCCATCCTATCCTCCTTGTATGAGTCTCTCCAAATGCCCATATGCCCTAAGTGTCCCAACGAGAATCAGTTCAGTGAAATCCCACAGCCTTTCACAGAGTGGACCAGAAAGTCATGGTCGTCTCTTCTGCCTTTCATGATCCGTCACAAAACTGCAGGCAAGGTCGCACAAATAAGGTCACTCTATTGCAGAACAAAGCCCCTGTGAACCTCAGACCTTTTTCAAACTGCCTCCTTGTTATTCAGTCACATTAGCCACCAGGGGAAGTTGCTTTGTGCTTGACACATACGGCACGTAAACACCTGCTTATATTTAAATATAGAACAGCCTTAATGCAGTAAGTAAGACTATTCCCAGATTTGACACTAAGCATGTTCTTTAAAGCTTTACTGGATAGAAGTCAACATTTACTTTTTAAGACATCCAAGGTGATGTTGAACAACACACTGATTTTTCCATGCCAGCCTGATAAAAGTAATTCATTATAATTTAAATCTGTATCAGTGAAAAGCCTGGGAAGGAAAATTACTGATAGGAAGCAATTAGATCAGGGCAACCTTGGAGGACAACGAAGGAAAACTGTGTGAATGCACAAGCAGGGAGGCACAGGAGACAGCTTGTTTTCTCAGGCGTCATGCTGCAAGAAATAATGATGCAATCTTCATGCTTGAACTTCTGCACTCAGGCTACACCTGTACTGACAGGTGTTCACAACCATTTTACCTTTCTGCATCTTTCACAGAATGCTGCAAGAGTCTGTGTCTTCTGAGGCAGCTGCAACCAGCCCCATACGCTTAATCCTAGGAGCTAGCTTGACACCTCTTAAATATTTTCCTGTGTTGTAATTAAAAGTACTGATGATGCAATCTACACCGCCCATCATTTACTCCAGAAACACTAACCGCATATTGCAGGAACAATTTCTCACTTGGCAGTGCCTAAACTCATCATGTAACATTGCCATAACCCAGAGGCCTGCCAGTTGGCTCTGCACATCTCCTGCTAGGGCCACAGGACAATGCTGCCTTTAAAAACTTTTCACCAGCTTGGCACCAGCAAACCCCATTGTTTGCATATGTGCAGCTCCTGCTGATGTTAGGAGGTTGCTAAAATTAAATTGTCCCATTCTGCAAAACTCTGGGATTTGGATTTCTGCCTAAAAGAAGGAAAATACAGACTGTTCAAAGTTTGCTACCAAAAAAACCCCCCAAACCTGCAAAAAACCTCCCAAAACCAAACAACCCACAAAACACAGAACATTCCCTCCAAGGTGGCCTGATGAGAAGCAGAGATCCATTTTTTGCATGCTTACTGCCCTGCACCAGCACTGGCTCATATTCGTGCTTCAAATCACAGTGCTTGTTACATCAGAGCATACATACCAGGACAAGGGCAGGAAAACAGAAACAAAGACACATAGGTAGACTGTGCTTGTGACAGCAAAAACTGCTTCTGCTCATCTGCAGCCGGTCTCTTCCACTCCTGCACCAAGTACAGGCTCTTCAAAGGATCCCACTGAAATACAGACTAGTAATGCAGCCCATGTCCCCATGACTACTGAGATTTACTACTTAGCAAATCTCATGTGGAAATGACTTACATCAGGATCCAGCTCCTCCAGTTCATCCTCTAACTTTCTGAGCTCCTCTTCTGTCAGAGCTCCGAGAATCTGGTCTTCATCCAGGTCTCGGTATTTTTCTAGCTCCTTTCTGTAAGACATCTTAGAGGAGTCTTGTGAATTTCACTTTTATGCTGAAACAGGACCTGATATGAAAACAAGAAGTGTTAATGCTGAATACATGAAACATGACACTGTAGCCCATCTGGCTGGGGAATGCTGAATACCCCAGAGCTGCAGAAGATTTATGCTTAAAGCACGGCTGACTTCAAAGTCAGGTCAGACTGATCAGTGCTCCCCATCCATATCCTACATGCATGTAACAAAAGGCCCCTGGTCATGACAGCAGCACAACTTTGGTAGCATGTTGCCCCATCATGAACTTCTAGGGCAGCACTGAAGAAGTACATTGTACAGAACCCTGGCTAGAGATGTCATTCTGCAAGTAATGCTAGATGCTAACGAAGTGTCCTAGGCATTTATTTCCTTGAAGGATAATAAACCAGAAATCATAGTCTGCAGTTCTCATGTCCTTAGAAGCCACCAGTAACAGCGCCCTGCACATGGAACTCCAGATGACCTTATCACCAGATGGGAAAACAGATTTGTAGCATCACTGAGTACCTCTGAGCCCTGCAAACCTCCATGAGGCTATAGTGCGCAGCACTTCTTCCCACGTTTTAAAGCCACAAGGAGATCAGGAAGTATTATCCACTCATGCTCAGGAGCCTGCCAGTTAAACGTGCTATTTAGTGACCCACCTTCCCTGGGACAGCACACGTTTGCAGTGCTGCCAGCTAAGCAGCTGACCTCTGTGCTACTGCATGTTCTTAACCTCTGTGCTACTGCATGTTCAAGAAGAGAAGTGGTAGTAACATACCGAAAGACCTGCCTGGGTAAATCCTGCTGAGGTTTGGCGCATTTCTCCTAATGTAAAATGCCATACACAATCACACGCATGTAACTGGACCTCTGCCAGCAAAAAGACTGTAGAGAACCTTTTGTGAAGACCAATGTGTTTAAAATATGCAGGTGGGTTAAAAGCACACTCCATACAACACATGAAAGTGTATCCAGCTCTGCTCTTTTTCTGAGTCTCCTTCTGTTGCACAGCACTGTCGGTGTATTTACAATTTTTGACTCAGTTTTTGCAGAGGATACTGAACTCTAGATAATTTAAAGTGACTTTTCCTATAGCTTTTCTGTTCTCTTGAGTGACATTTACATTAACATACTGACAAGGCCTGTGCATTTTTCAAGGAGCCAAACATCTTTCAAGTTTCTATAAATCGCCTCTTTCCAGCTCCCTGTGGAGCACCAGAGCCCTACCCTGAGTCACATCTCTCCAGCTTTGCTCGTCCTCTGAGGACAGATCATGCTCTTATGATCACTCTTCATTAGCGGAGAAGTTTCTTTATACAAGTTACCACACAGCTGCTGTTCCCGATAGGAAAAATATCTTTAGCTTGGTCACAAAAGGGCACATTAATGCACACATGCTTGCTCAACAGCAAGCCCTTAAATTTAGAGCTGTCATCTGGTCAGACATTCGGTTTCCCACTGGTGTGATAGCAGTTCCTGCATCACTCACATTCCTGCCACTCACCACTTAGGAGGTGAAGCACCAGGAGGTGGTGCCTCCTTAATGGGAGAAAGAGGTCCTGAAGCTCCCACAGCCAGGAGCTGAGAGGGTGAAAAACAGGTTTTTGTTGGGCTGGCTTGCTCTGTGCAGCAACAATTAACCCACGGGCACCAGAGACAAGGGCAGAAGGAGGGTGACAGAGGAAGCATGGACGGTGGTGTTGAGTGGGTTTGGCTAAGTAAAGCAGTGGGGACTGCCACACTCCTGTGCTTTACCAACGCCCTGCAGCAGTCAGTGCTAGACTCCTTGGGCTGTGAGACTGGCATGCAGCCACACACAGGTCAGGTGAGGAGCCACGTCCAGCAGCTCAGCCCCTGCTTCCCTTCCGGTCAGTACAGGGAAGGGGCAGAGCCTTTACTGCAGTTACCCATGGACACTCATGTGGGAGATACTAGAAAAGCAGCCTGGACTTGGAACAGGAGATGCACTGTGACCTTAGATTAAGTGCACAAACCATGACTAGTCTGTATTTCATATGCAGTTTTCAGTTTTGACTGTAGAAGGAGATGGAGCTAAGAGCACACAGAAAGGCAGAGGATAACCCACACCAGGCTGCTAAATTCCCTGTAACGGCTAAAAATACCCACACCTGCCACACACACATAGCAATCTCTGTCTTGACTACGTGAGGACAACTACTCCCAGAGGCAGCCACAGTCCCTTCCTAGCAATCCAGAGCAGACTGCAAGCAGTGGCCCATCTGGGACCAGAGGGCAGCCCCCACAGGGCTGACCTTGTTGCCTCCCACCAGAAGGACAGAGACTGTCAGCACCAAGACGCGAAGGCAGGACAGACATCGGATGTCACTGCACACAGACAATGCTTCTGGAAAACGCTTCAGGTTTCAAAGCATCTTGCAGAGATATGAAACTGGGGCTGCATATAGCAAAGGCCCTGAGGGTTGAGGACAGGTGCAGAGCCTGCTGAAACACAGCTGAAATCCCCAGGGGGAGAATTTCATTTGGCACATACCCCAAAGAGAGCTGTCGGGAGGGGACAGTGCCCTCATAGCCTTGCTGGTGCAGCTGGACAGTGCTGGCGCCTTGCACAGCTCCTGCAGAGAGCACAGCACTATCCCTGCCCGCAGCAGCAAGACATTCTGTACTGCTCCCCTGCCTGCCAAACAAGCTGTTCGGCATCATGTCCTCCAGCACAGCCTCCAGGTCCAGCATGTTCGCTGGCTCTCCCTTATCTCCACATCCCAGCCCTCTTCTACCCTATCTTGCTAATGAGTGCTGGGACAAGAAGCAAACCAGCCCATCTGCTGTAAATGGCAAGAGGGCTTTGCAGTGCAAAAAACAAGAAAGCAGGTAAATTCTGCCTAAGCATAACTGTTTTCTTTTACACAGCGCACTGAAACACCCACCACCACAAACAGCTCTCCCTGACCTGTGCTAGGGTACAAGCGTGGTTTAACAAAGGTCCCACCTCCACCTGAGCCCCAGCAAAATAACATGAACCTTCAGCACAACTGCAGTATTGTATTCAAATTTTAAATCTACAAACTTCTAAACATTCAGGGAAGAGTTAACCCTAATTCACCACAAATCTGCTCCATCAAACCTATTCACAATGCCCTCCTAAGACAGCAGCTTTGATTTCTCACTATTTTTCATTAAACCTACCACTTTTCATTCAATCAAGTGAGGAAGCATCACAACAGAATATACACATAATATACGGAAACTGCACAGGACTGACATCAAGTCCTCAAAAAATTGAAGTTTGTATTGACTACTAAGATAGCAAGATATTAGGTCTACTTGTTCAAGGTACTTGTCAGACACAAGAAAGCAGCTGAAACACTCGCACTTGGTAAGTCGGAA